CAGCCCGGTGTCGAGGAACTCACGCGCCGGGTCGCTGGCAATCATTAAAGACACTTCTTAAAGATTGTGGCCATTTAAAAAAGTTAAAACCACTCTGAATCTAGTTGTGCATTTGGCACAAAAAATGGAGAAGAAAGGAGAGAAACTTACATTATGGTTATGAATGCAGCATGCTGCCGCACAGGAAGGTCACCTAAATGGACAGCCAGCGGTATGGGTTCTCAAGAAGAGTGCATCACGAGTGTGGGCCACAGCAGCCCGGTGTCGAGGAACTCACGCGCCGGGTCGCTGGCAATCATTAAAGACACTTCTTAAAGATTGTGGCCATTTAAAAAAGTTAAAACCACTCTGAATCTAGTTGTGCATTTGGCACAAAAAAGGAGAGAAACTTATAGATTGGTCATATTTTAACTGACCATGAGGGCCGTGTCATCATGCGGCTGTGCCTATAACGCATGATACCACGGTACTGTATTTAACGATCTGTCGGGTAAAAAAGGAACAAAACTGTCCGTTGAACTTAAGTAAAACGCTTCATTAGTGGAGTAATAGTTCAAACAATAAGAAAGCTCTGTTAGGTATGCACTTGGAGTCCATTGTCAGTCATGGAAAAAACGCTTACATTGTTTAAAAAGATACACTGTGGATCTATATACGACGGGCTCCAAACGAAACTTGTATTGTCCTAGACCACAGGCCAATAGGTTGGCTCAGTCCACACTAGGAAGGTGACTTAAGTACTTTATTCTGAATTTTCAACACTGCCAACACCTCCTTGGTGCGTAGCAAATGAACACCGAGTTCTATTAATGTTCCAGAAATATAGGCATTTGCTTATTCAAACCAGAATGTCGCGGGCTCAATACGATTCGATGGCTATTCGTGGGACAGCTTATGAGATCGTAACTTTCAGTAGCGAAAACTTGAGAGCGTCGTTGCCTTTCGGGCTTCAGGTCGAAGGGGTACCGGCCCGCCTGCCCACCCCACTGCCCTCTCCCCCGACCCCACTCATTCGACGATGTCCACATGATAATGCTAACGTCATACAATTCAGCATTAACGTTCCGTTATCAGCCGATTTTCAGTGGAAATCATCACAGAAGTGTTCATGCAAAGCACTGTTATTCCACGCCGGAGGGACCGGAAGAACTGAAGATTTAACAATCCTGCCGCCTGGTACTTTGTCGTGACCTTTTCCAGGTCAAACAAGACTCGGCGTACAGACCAGGGCGAACACGCAACCGAGCACAGGTCGATCTGCGCAGCCCATAAACATATGCAGTTGAATGCAGCCAATTTATTGGAAAAGATGAAAGCATCCTTGCAAACAGCACGCGCGCCACTTTCACATGTTGATACCACGTGCACTTACTAACAAAGCGAACCTTTTTCAACCTCTGCAGCTGGTGAACAAAGCACAAAAGCACGAAAATTAGCATCTAGAATACTATGCTGCTTGGAACGCGGTCCCAGACGTACATGCCATCCTGCGGAATCACCTGCGTAGCTAAACCATGCAATCACAATCACACCAGCGTATAACAAGAAGTTTCTACGAATCGCCAAGCGACGACACCATGTCAGGCACTGCGCCATGGACGGATTTCGGACGCACCTGAGCCAGAGCCACACCGTCCGCTCTTGAGAAGCGCCCAAAAGCGTAACACACGGAACCTAACACACTGGCAGTTCAGTGTGCACTCCAGTTGGCTCGCGGGAAATCCTCATCGACGAATGTGACGTGGTCGACCGTCCTGAATGCCGTCTGGTACAGATATATTATGGCAGCTTTTAGGCGTTTTGGTGTGCCTTATGGATGACAAAGTTCACGAACCACGCATTCACAGCGTTATCAGGTACTTAATCACTTCACTCGGTTTCGAAAGCTATGAGCCAGAAAAAACGAATTTCGCCAAAGTAACAGCCATTTCAACTCACTTGCCTACCATACAACAGATACAAGCGGAATGTCACAAGTTACGTTGAAAGCCGTGCATGCAGTGATGGCCGCGCCACGAAATAAGCCCCAGATTACCGCAAAACGCAGCTACTGGATAATGACATACCAGCGCAGCGCAAAAGTCGATGCATTGCCCGCGTGTTGAGCAGAAATATTTTGTGGTCCCCTCACAGAACAAGACGTGCACAGGTGATACATCGATACATGACAGCCAGATGCGCGTGTCATCGCCAGTCGTAATAAAAGGCGGTCGTCGGCAAACGACCCGGTAACGCGGCGACATCCTGCAATTGCCTCACATTGACATGCACTGAACAACCCGGAGCCTCGTCATGAAACATAATACGACGGTCGCAGCCCGCTACGCAGAAGTCCATCACAGAAGTCTCGCCAGGAGAACACGCGATGACGCAAACAAGACAAAACGACGTGCTAAAATGATCGCACTATTTAATCCCAGTTTTGGCCCGTCGCGATCAACAAACAACTGAATACAATACAAAAATTCGTGATGTAAATCACCAGCCGTTTCCGCATGGTCCTGCCAAGCGTAATGTCAGCGAGTTCGGCCAACTCCGTGACGTGTGAGGGTGACGCACGGGCCTCACGCTCCACCGCGCCGTGTTAGGAGACGGATAGCGACTCGGGGACCCTGCCCAGCTGCGCTGGCCGCCGGACCACCTTGGTTGCAGCTACTCGACGCCGGCGGCCGGCGCCCCGTGACGTCACTGAGGAAGCCAGGGGCACCTCCGTCCCGGAGAGCCACGGCAGCTGCAGCAAGGCTCCGGCGGCGCAGAGCTGTCGCGCTTGGTAGCTTCTTTTTGCAAAAGAAGCTCAAGCTTGTGACAGACCGTTAGTAATGCTACCTGTTTGACGACGTTCATGTACTCGTTAACCCTGAGATCCATTACAGTTGGCTGGCTGGTTGTCGGGTCCGTTTTCGGCCACAGACAGCTGAACCACGTGCGTTGGGGCACGGACACCAATTTATCATAACAGCTCTTTACCGTCGCGCCGACCACAAAGGTCGCCACCTATGCTTGCAAACCGGGGAGGACAGTTTCGCGCACCTCACTGCTGGTGCTCTGAGTAGGGGCCCTACTGCATGGTCGGTTCTGCGTAGTTCACCGGCGGTTGGAATGCCGTCCGTACACTTTTCCGCACTCGTTTCAGCTGAACAAAACACCGCGCGGCTTTCCTCGATAAGATAGAGCGGCCGTATCGTGGGCAAGCAGCAGCCCATGAGAAAAACGCGGCGCGGGCCGAGAGCGCGTGTGGCGCGGCCGCCGCTCCGGGCGCGCGCTGACCTCAGCAGTCGGCGTCGAGTCAACACGACACGAGCTGCGTCACGTCGCGGACGCCGCCACGGCCGCTTTATGAATGGCGCTGGACGGCCGTTGGGGGACGGCCGTGTGCCAACAGGCGGCCAGTGCAAACGCTGGCGGCGCCGAGGCTCGCTATCTCCGCCGCGGCGGCGCCACCGCCGGAACCGCGTCGGTGCAGCGCCGCCTCTGGTCGCGTGGAACGGGAGGCGGGACCTCCGCTGACGGCTGGCTGAGAGACGGAATTTACGCCAGCTATCGGATGTTTGCTAATTTGGAGGCGACGTGGCTCGGGGGCAGGGGCAGAACAGATATGACCAGTTAAGAGCGACTATCAGGCCTTCAGGACGCGCAACGACCGTTCAGTCAATCACAGTAGTGCAGAGCAAAATCGCTGTGACGGAGAGAGAGAGAGAGAGAGAGAGAGAGAGAGAGAGAGAGAGAGAGAGAGAGAGAGAGGAGAGAGAGAGAGAGAGAGAGAGAGAGAGAGAGAGAGAGGGGGGGGGGGAGAGAGAGAGAGAGAGAGAGGGAGAGAGAGGGAGAGAAAGAGAGTGAGAGGGGGCGAGAGAGAGAGAGAAACAGACAGACAGAGAAGAAAGTCGACTCCGTGGCGAAGGGCGACGAAATATTTCTACTCATTCAGGTGGTGACGACGTTATGCGAATAGTTAATCTTACAGTAAGAGTTAGTGAGCCTGCACGTTCTCTTCCTGCGAGCCTACGTGTTAGTTGGTTGGAATAAACAAATAAAGCTGGTACCAAAATTATGCAGGGCCATGCGGCCAGCAGACGGACATCGAACTAAGGACAGCGTGTCCTTCAAATGCTCACCCCTACGCGCTAGAAACGACGAGCCTATTCCAAGGCACAGCGAGAGCAGGCACCAGTTACAACACCCCAGTTATTCCAAACAAACTCGCAAATCCTGGACAGTCAGGCCGGCGGTGTGGGCGTTTCGGGCGCGGGCATGAGACCTACGCCTTCACGCCGGAGACAGGCGGCGGCCCGCCGCTGGCCAACAGAGCGCCGCGGGATGTGTCGAGCAGAACAGCATACGTATTGCACACGGGTTGGCACGAATTGCGACTCGATAGGGAATGAAACGTGGCAACACGGCCTGACGATATTTCTGCGAATGGCGAGACTCCAGTCCACTTGTGGGATGAGTATTGAACTAGTGTAGCCCGTGGCTGTCACTGAACGCGAAGCGACCCCACCTGAGCGGTCGTGACGCTCCTCAGACAGCAGAAGGCGCGCGAGGGTCACTGCGGCTCCGTCGTGACCGAGCCTCGTCGGGCCCGACGCGGGTCAGGTCAGGTCAGGTCGACCGCTGGGCGCGGCGGCCACTGAGGCGGCCGGCGACCGGCGCGCGCTCCCGCCCTCCCGGGGCCACCGCGGGGCAAGGGCCGACCCCCGCCGCCACCGGCCGGCACTGGACGGAGACGTACTGCGCGCGAGACGCGTACGTCAGGGCCGGCGCTATACGGAGGACGTCCGTACAGGTGCGCCAGCCCAGGGCGGACGGCTCCCGGTCACTGGGCCGGGGTCCGCAGTGCGGCACGGCGGCGGCGGCGGCGGCGGCGTGCAGCCCGCTGGCGGCGCCCGGCGCGGGCGGGGCGGCGGGCGGTCGCAGGGCGCCTCGGCGGCCGGGGCGACTGTCGGAGGCCAGGCCTGAGAGCTGGGGCGCCGGGCCGCGGGGCGGGTCCGGTCAGGCCTTGTCAGCCCGCGCCGCCGGCGGCGGCGCGAGCCTCATACAGCCGGAGCCGCGGTCCGGAAGGCGGCTGTCGCCTCCGGCCCGCGGCTCCGGCCAGGGCGGCCCGACGGAGTTAGCGCAGACGCCTGGCTCACCGCTGCTGCTTCGGAGACCGCCAGCAAGCGGCTTTCGTGATCAGCTACATGCTACGATGGACAGTGACAGTGATGGTATGGCACATGTATGGCACGCGAGTTCAGCAACGTTTGCAAAAATGTTTGATTTTGTTTGATATGGACCCTTAAGTCGTGCGCTCGGTTTTGACAGACACTGGCCCGCGGCGAGGCTGTGAGCGCACCTCCGCCGTGCTCACCGTCCAGGACAGTAATAATCACCCTTGTTTCAAACATTCATACAGCACCTACATCCAACCGAACAAGCCTAGCCCAATGACGCAGAAGCCCCGCAGGCTCTCGCAGACCACCTGCGCTAGCGTGTCGTCGCTCTCGCTCGGGCGACAGTCATGAGACGCCGGTCAACTTCGACACTCCCCTCCGGCTGAAGCGCGTCACCTCCGGCTACTTCTTCACCTTCGGCTCGTGGCGTTTTCTGTGGAGCGCCAGGTGGTCGGAGCGGCCGAACGCCCGGTGGCACGTCTTGCAGACGAACGGCTTGGCGCCCGTGTGCTTGCGCACGTGCCGGGTCAGCTCGTCCGAGCGGGCGAAGCTCCAGTTGCAGCTCTCCCAAGAGCACAGGTACGGCTTCTCGCCTGCAACACGGACACGGAGCGTGTACTGGGGCAGCTCGGAGCTGGGCTAGGGCGGGCTCAGTCGCCTCGGCTGGGGCCAGCTTTGTATTCGCCATCCTGGGACCGGCGCGACAATGCGAAGGTCTGCACCGACACGTGGACTACATTAAGAGGTCTGGAAGAAGCAAAACGGGTGCGCCGTGATCGCCACTCACGGTCACCGGGTTGCATAGGGACAGGTGGTGCAACTGGTGCAAAAATGGTCTGGTGTGACGATGGTAAGGACATGCTGATCCGCATAGAGGAATGCTTAGTTTGTGTTTTGGCTGCCAACATATTTGAACGAACCCAATAAGTCCGAGCATGCCAGGACGAGATCATGCGATGACGTTTAGGTAGTGTTCAATCGAGTAACGCCATATTATTTACCATTCCATTCTGCATTACAATCAAGGCTGCAAAGACCGTTCCATCCACCAGAGTGCAGTCACTGGTTTCCCCCTTTCGCCCCACGCCACCACGGCTCACTCGAGTCCAGCGGGACCTTCCTACACTGAGTGGCGACGGAACGGCCTTGTGTTGGCCCGCTTTGACAAGCATCTGACTGCACAACCCATCGCACGCACTGAAGCGGTGTACCGGCGTCCATCCATCATTCACCCCTACGGCCCACGTCTAAATCACGCTGTCTTGGCGTGGTAGATCGCGGCCATCAGAGCAGGTCAGATGGGGTCAGGGGCCGTCATCAGGAGATGTCAGGCAGGGTTAGGGACCGTCATCAGGAGGGGTCAGGCGTTGTATGGGACCGTCAACAGCAGCAATGCAGGATCACCGTCATCATGAGAAGTCAGAGGCACACACCGTGCCTGTCAGGACAGGCTAGACAGGGTCGGGGTCTATAGTAGCCAAGCTAGACAACCCAGAACATCAAAATATCAGGATTCATTGGAGCTGTTCAGGAGTTCGGAGACCCATGCGAGAAAGTTTGGGAGGCCCGAATTTAGAAGACTGTCAAAAGTCAGTCAGTCTGACAGAACATAGCTGCAGAGCGCCAAGTGCAGAGCACCATAAGTGCGGGACCTCATCGGGTCAGCGAGACAAACCGCGTCGTCCCGTTGAGTAGAGCCTGACTGGAGGACACGAGCTCTTGGGATGCGTTCAAGGTCAGGGGAGCCGGACGGAGCCCATGCCACCTCCACCGATACGGACTGGGCGGAGCGGCACGATGGTCCGGCCGGCGCTGGGTGGAGCGGCACGCCGCGCTACGGCGCGAGGCCTCAGCCCTGATGGAGATACGGCGCGAGGCCTCAGCCCTGATGGAGCTACGGCGCGAGACTTCAGCCTTGATGGAGCTACGGCGCGAGGCCTCAGCCCTGATGGAGCTACGGCGCGAGACTTCAGCGCTGATGGAGCTACGGCGCGAGACTTCAGCCCTGATGGAGCTACGGCGCGAGGCCTCAGCCCTGATGGAGCTACGGCGCGAGGCCTCAGCCCTGATGGAGCCACGGCGTGAGACTTCAGCCCTGATGGAGCTACGGCGCGAGACTTCAGCCCTGATGGCGCTACGGCGCGAGGCCTCAGCCCTGATGGGGCTGCCGGTGCACCCACTAACGCCCGTCAGGTCTGCACCTTCTCTGACAAGTTGTATCAATGTCACGATACAGCGCGTGGTCCAGGTCGGGATTAAAGCAGAGCACCTGCAACGAACCGAGCCAACACGCCAACCAGCCAGCCAAGTACCAGCCGTCTCGTTCACGCGGCACGAAGGCTGAGACCGTTGGACACCATCCCCGTTCACATGGATAAGCCTATGACCAGGTGCTAATTCGAAGAGCTTGGGGTTTGCGTGCAAGTACCAAATAATAGGACAACACCCGCACGCAGAAAATTACACTGCCTGCCTGGAAAAATCTGCAATGAAATGCAAATGTAACGAATAGCTTCAAAACCAATAGTGGTGGGACATAGGACATATATAGCACTGGTAGACGTCATTTATAGTGACAACGTTCGAGTGTTATTGCCGTCGCTTCAAGCGCACATATTCGACAAGTCGCCTAAACAAACAGCTGCTGTCAAACGTTGCAAGTTGCAGACCGAGGCTGCAGCTCGTTCCACTAACAGAACACGAAACATAAATAAACAAAAAGCTGCAAACAAGTACATGCCCTGGTCAAATCGGCAGGCTCAGTATGCGACTGATGTTCCAAACAGAGCCTTTCAACTGATTAGGCAGTACGTCTGCGAATTCGCCCAGCACACCGATTGCTCGCTTAAAGAAGACTTCAGATTCATGTTGAATTCGACTGGTCATTCAGAAACTTGATGCCGACTGACATTGTAGGATACGTGGCCTGACCTGGGACTTGTTACCAACTGCACAGCGATATGCGATCGAGTCCAGTCGATTTCGAAATACACCGATGCAACGTGGTGTAGAGACCCGGTCAGACGTGTGGCACATCTTAACTACTGGTAAGTTGTGTAGTAGGTACCTAAACACATCACCACTATTACCATGTTAATTTTACACCAATTGCATCCTGTAGATAAATCATGTTTTTGCCGTGCTAACTTATTCATAGGTTATGCCGGTCTGCAGACTGTGACAAATTTTGTCTTCAAATGATAATGCCTGCGTTGTGGATAAAGAGCAATTGACTGCAATATGTGGCAGCTTTTAAAAGTACAGAGTGGCACATATAAAACGCATCCCATGATTTGACATTCGCGATCCCGCACCAAGATTTACTTATACTTTTTCTGTAAATCACACCCAATTATAAGCTTTTCGCGAAAAGGCAGACCACTTTAACCTGAAGTGAGAAGCTATTCTGTCGCAGGAAAACCATTTTTGGTTCTCCCAAACACTAGCATAGCTTTTTCTGTATATTTTAACATAGAGGATGCAGATTCAAGTGGCCGAAATCGGGAGAGCAATCGAGTTTTGAAATAGGTTAGGTCAACCTTGTGAGGTGAGCCCCTAACCGACCCAGAAAAAGACGCCCCTGTTGCTGTCCCATTTGAGTGCGCCCAACAAATGAAAGTCGGACAAACCACTGTAATTTGCACACGAAGAACATTGTTTCCGCCTGACCACCAACAGCTGGTTGGCGCAAAATTCATGACAGTGGTGTGACAGCGTTGTGGAGTTGATTACCGGAGAAGCAGTGGAGCGATGGAGCAGTGGTACTTTGAAATGGTGGAGTGCCGGAGTGCTGGAGTTACGGAACAGTGCTGCGGTGGAGCGGTCATAGGGTGAAGTCGAGTGGCGGAGCGATGGAGCGTCGGAGTGGTGCGGCGGAGGAGCGGTAGAATGGTGGAGTGGTGCGGCGGCGAAGCGGTGACGGGGAGGAGTGAAATGGTAGACCGGTGGGGCGGCAGACTGGTGGTGGACCGGCGGGCCGATGGAGCGGCGGGCCGGTGGAGTGGCGCGCCGGTGGAACGGCAGGCCGCTGGAGTGGTGGAGCGGCGCGGCGGCCGTGCGGCCGGGCCGGCGGCGGGCGGCGCTGGCCGCTGCAGCGGGCGCCGCTCGGGCCGGCCGCCGGCGGCGCGGCTGACATCACCGCCGCGGAATGTGACCGGCCGGACGGCTCTCGCCGCTGCGGCTCTCGCCGCGCGCCCGCCGCCGGCGCGCTGCATACGCCACCGCGCCGCCTGCCCGGCGCGAGCCGTCAGACAGGCCGGCGGGCTGACTGAACCGAGCGGGCCCGCAGGTAGGGGAGGGGGCAGGGCGCCGACCGCGGAGACGGGGAGGGGCCAGCGGTCGGGCCAGGGGGCCGACCACAGCGGAAGCATCGGCAAGGGGCTACCCAGCCGGACGCCTGCCCCCTGGCGGACTGGCAGAGCTTGAGGGAAAGAGGCTCCCAAAGAGGCCCTCGCGGCACACAGCTACCGCAGCCTCTAAGCTGTGCATTGCAGCAGCAGACCGCCAGTCATGCGGCACTGCAGAGTGCGCCACACTCCACGAGCAGGACAGCTCCGACCGACTCTGGCAAAGCTGCATATATTCGGCAAATGCTCCGCTCATTTGTATTCCTGAGCCACTCTTGGATTACAGCGTTGTCCACGACAAATTGTGACCACTGCTAGCAGTCAGTGCTGCTGCGTATCGACGCCTCCTCTTTCACTACGCTTTTCAGCGGGCTCGACGTGGTCACCTGCCCGCTACCCACGCGTGATCACTTGTCCGGTACCTGCGCGTGATCACTTGCACGGTACCTGCGCGTGATCATTTGCCCGGTACCTGCGCGTGATCACCTGCGCGGTGTCTGCGTGTGATCACTTGCCGTTGCCTGCGCATGACCACTTGCCGGTGGTCATGGTGGTGTCTGCGCGTGGTCACTTGCCCGCTGTCTGCGCGTGATCACCCGCTCCGTACCTGCGCTTGAAGAATTGAGAATCACAAAGAACCGTTGCACCTAAACTTGGCTCTCTTTTGTCCCACGGTAGTGGCTGTTTTTGTGCATGGCGGCTGTCATGACATAAGTCCCCTCTCCACATTCAGGTATATCTGACCTACGGAGGTGACGGTATTAAACGACATCCTGATTTACTTTTGGTACCGAGCTGCTTTTGGCTGAGAGCTAGTGCGTTTGTTCTGGGTTGTTGCAAATGACAGTACGTCAATTACATGGCCACGCCCGTCTCAGCCTTTACCCAGCACTTCGCACAACAAGCGTTACTGAATAGAATAACGCAGCGCCTGCGTGTTTTGTATCTGCCCTGCAAATATCGCAAAGCAATGACCGTCGCTGCTACGTCAATGCCTCCGCCGGCCGTCGGAAGGCGAGAGATGCCATGTCGCAATGCGCAGATGGACGCGCGACGGGGCCGCCTTCGCCATCTGGAGGCGGCGTGGCGTGGCGTGGCGCGGCGCGGCGCGGCGCGGCGCCGGAATAGCTGTGTGGAAAGTCGGCTGCAGCGGTAGGCTGCAGCCGGGCCGCGCTGCTGCAGCCGCCGCCCGCGGGCAGACACCTGGGCTACGGCCCACATGCCAGCCGCGTATTAGCAGTCCCTTATCTGGACGTCAGACGCCCGGCGACTGACATGCGGGCTATGTGCCAGCGTCTGGAGTGTGATGCTCTGAGGTCAACCATGGAGCGTTCGGTTCAGCTGCTGAACGTGGGGCTACCACATGCGTTCGATACTTGGTGCTTAGTACACAGTCGTTTCGACCAGCCGAGCCAAGGCTAGAGCAGCATTTTCCGCAAGCGTGGAAAAAGGAGCTGAGGCCGGGCGAGCCATGGACCACCCACTTTGCATGGAGGTCAAAGGCAAACGTCACGGTGACGCATGGAAATATCGAGTATCAACGAGGGGGTGGCCTCACTCATTTTTAAAGCATCACACGCTCTTGAGCCTGCCACCAATGTACCAAAAATGCACGTCCTAGCAAAAGCAGCGTACCTAAATCCTAATGATAATGTCACGCTAGTTCTTTGAACTCAAGTTTTAACCAAAGATCAAAAGGCCTTCATATTACTTTTTTGCAAGAGTTAGCATGGCTCTTAAACAGTCTATCTTCTTCGGCAGTCTAAACTCGTTTGTCTACCAGCGTACTCCGCTTCAATTCCACATTTATCTCTCATACAACTGTCGCCTTATCCGGAATTGACGACGTGCGACCCCCCCCCCCCCTCCCCCTTTACACACAATCCCGTCGAAAGCCATCATTAAACCCTCAAAGCCACCAACTTCCCATTCGACTGAAAAAGGACCCCCGTCCGGAATCAAACGACAGCTAATAGCCAGACTCTTCGCTTGCCACACAACATCCGGACATTTGTGGCCTCACCGAAGACCGTCTGTCAATAGTGCCTCGCATGCGTAGTGGTCATTGCGGCCACGTCGCCGTTCGGAATGCCTGGAGGCTGGAGGGAAATGACAAGCTCTACCAGACCTATCATGTTTCGCCGCATATGGGTTGTGACATGCGCACGGGAATAGCGGCAACTCGGTCATGACGGTGTGGTCAAGGATGACCAAAGTCAGGCGATAGAGGGCAGTTTGTGCCAAGGCGATGTGGACGGTTATTTTTTTGTGCTTTTGTAGGCGAATGTAAATGCCATGATTTTGACATGAAACGTGGCACCATACCTTCCTCACGTCGTCAATTCGTGATGTATAGAAGTTGAGATGATGGTGAGCGGGAACTACCGAAGGGTTGCCTAAAATTTTGATTTAGAAAGAAACCAACTCCCCACGTTAAATCAAACTAGTGCAAACAAATAGTCTTCCAAGGATCGCGCCTGTAACAATTTGGAATATTTGGTGCTCACGCCCATCGGGTAAATTAATAAATTGCTGGTCTAATTAAACTTTCGCATTAGCTTTCCTTTCCGCTCGTTCCTGCCAATTTACTTTGAATGGTGAATAGTTTATATGGCCGGCGTAGTGGCCACAGCTTGCACCCAATCTTAAGAAAATGTCGTGTAGTGCATAACTATGTGATAAAGTATACGCTGCAACTAAAAATCCTGCGCATTGAAGCGCAGGCAAATAGCATCGCACAGTTATGGATACGTAGGCATCCAAAATACTTTTTCGCAAAACACAAACCCAAGCACACAAAAAACGCTCGCGACAAAGCTTAGAGGCAGGGTAGGCGGAGTTGCTGCGCAGGCTAAAGAGTGATGACGCAAGGCACATACCGTCTTGACTGGCCATCAGTAGAGATTCATACGCTGACCCCAACTTGCCACCCCCTCCTTCTCAACACCACCGGGCCAAAAGACGCCTGACGACCTCGAATGGCCATCGGGCCGGAGGACGTCTGACGACCCCCAAGAATCACCGGGCTAGAGGACGCCTGACGATCCCCAAGGGTCACCGGGCCAGAGGACGCCTGACGATCCCCAAGGGTCACCAGGCACAGAGGATGCCTGACGACCTCCAAGGGTCACCGGGCCAGGGGACGCCTTGGTGGTCTTAATCAACCACGACACTGCACGCAGCAAGTGCTCACCAAAATTCTACGATATGAACATCTGCAGATCGCATCAGTGCAAGTGCACGCTACACGGGTGAGTACAACCTTATACTGAGGTAGCATTCTGGCAAAGTTGACACGTTTCGCAAGCGTAAGTCCAGCATTCATACAGCCTTACCTGTGTGCGTGCGTTGGTGCGCCTTCAGATGTGAGCTTTTCGTGTAGACTTTAGTGCAGCCTGCGGACACAAGTACAACTGTTAGGCCGTGGTTCCAACAAGCGTTCATACATAACAATGCGCAAACGCGAGGGCGATAGAGGCCTTCTGAGAGTTGCATTGAACGCGCACTCCCATTATCAGTTTCAAAACCTCCCAGTCATTCGTGCCCCCGATAACTGGCAGGTGATGTGCGTCTGCTTTGAAGTAATTCCGATAACGACTGATTCCGAGACGAAAAGGTTTCAGGGCCTGGCGGACGCCGTCAAACGTGTCTCGTCTGAAACGAGCACACCCAACCGAGAGCACAACACAAGAGAGGTGCGCACGAGAAGCTTTGCATTGGTCCAGTTGGCGCGTGGCCGGACACGCCGGGAAGGACTGAAGGCGGACGGAAAATGTTAATCAGCCGCGACCCTGCTGTAAGATGAGGACGTGCGCTGTCCCCTTCTCCCAATCCCTCACCAGGAGATAAGCTTAACCGATGACAAAGACGTGTGGCCGACCCAAATTACACTCCCGATAGGGGCGAGCGTGGCGCGCAGCCGGCCACTCACCGGTGAAGTGGCAGCGGTGGATGCGCCGCTTCTCCAGCTCGGGGTTGTTGCGCCGGTTGTAGCGGCGCGGCTCGACGATGGTCGGCGTGGTCGGCTGCGCCGGGATCGTCGTCACCGACAGCTGCCGGCTGTCAGCGCCGAGCAGCGGGTGCGGCGGCAGCCAGGCGAGCGGCGGCGGCGGTGGCGGCGGCGGCTGCTGCCGGCGGTACGGCGGAGGCGGCGTGCGCCGACCCTGTGCCAGCTGTTCGGGGCTCGCCGAGCCCGGGTCCGAGTGTGGTGGTGTCGGTGGCAGGTAGCAGCGTAGCGGGAACGGTGTGCCGCCGTAGCCGCCGCCGTAGCCGGCGTGAAGTGCCGCGAAGCCGGGCTGGGACGCCGCCGTTCGGTACGCGCCCGGCTCGCACTTGATGTGCGGTGACTGCTGCTGCTGCTGCTGCTGCTGCTGCTGCTGCTGTTGCTGGTGGTGGTGTTGGTGATGGTGGTGGTGAGGCGGCGGTGGCGGCGGTACAGCCGGAGCCGTGAACTCGAAGCGCGGCTCCTGCTCCAGGCAGCCGGGCAGCAGACCGAGCGCCGGCTCGGCGGCCGCGGCGAGGCCGGCCAGGGGCGCCTCCTCCGGCTCCGGCTTGACAAACACGTCGTCGTCGTCGCGGCCGTGCAGCGCCGAGAGGATCGCCGTGAACGACGAGCGCCGTCGCGCCGCCGACGTGAAGAACTCGTCGATCTGGGAGGCGGACTCGCGGCGCGGCTGCTCTGACATATCCATATACATGTGGTCGGGCAGCGGCTCTAGCTCGGCCGGCTCCGGCGGCGGGTCCAGCCGCGGCGGACCCCAGCTCTTCTGCAGCATTGCGCACATCTCTTCACCGGTCTGCGGACAGGGGCAAGAAGTCAGCTGCAGGCCAGTTACCAACAACGGCAGGACGGACAGGACGTCAGATACAGACCGGCCACCTAACAGTGGGAGAAGTGGATCAAGTGTGTGTGATGAAGTGCAGGGACAGTCTCGGCAGTCACTTCTGGGCTCCCTGGGAGATGAAGTCTAGGGACAATCTCGGCAGTCACCTCTGGGCTCCCTGGGAGATGAAGTTTAGGGACAATCTCGGCAGTCACCTTTAGGCTCTCTGGGTGATGAAGTCTAGGGACAATCTCGGCAATCACCTCTGGGCTCCCCGGGTGATGAAGTGCAGGGACGGTCTCGGCAGACACCTCTGGGATCCCTGGGTGATGAAGTCTAGGGACAATCTCGGCAATCACCTCTGGGCTACCCGGGTGACGAAGGACAGAGAGTGTCTCGGCAGTCACCTTTAGGCTCCCTGGGTGATGAAGTCTAGGGACAATCTCGGCAGTCACCTCTGGGCTCCCCGAGTGACGAAGGACGGAGAGTCTCGGCAGACGCCCCGGGTGGTGCGTGCGCGTGTGCGCGCTGCCACCGCGGCGGGGTCCGGCAGCGAGACTCAGCCGCCGGCTGTGGGCTAAGCAGCCTGTTCGACGGTCGCCGTGTTTGAGCAGCATCCGAGTCGACAGTCCGGTGTCGCGGAACTGTCGCCCTTTGAGCAACGAAAATCACGCAGCCGACTGTGCACACACCGGGAACGGGCGATCTCGAGTTTCCTGAACGACTGTCAGCCTTTGATGTGTGATGCGATTGGATAAGCTACACAGCCAGCGCTGGGAATGAAACAGGACTTTGAGATGCAACCCAACAAGCGGTAATTTTGCTTGCTCTTTCACCAAGAAAACCTGTAGAACACCTTGTGCGTAATGTGATGACAAGGTGACAACGGCTGTGGGAATTTAAAGCTTTGCAGGCGATTATTCGCAATTGACATTGACCGCTTTTTTGGTGTATTACCGAAACACCTGTGAGTCGAATAGTGGCCAGGTGTCGTCATGAAGGTTAGCCAGTGCATTTGGCAATGTTGGACAGTCGGACAGTCAGTTGGTCGGACAGTTTATATCCTCACGAAGGTTAGCCGATGCATGCGACAATATCGAACAATTGGCTTCATATCCTCATGAACGCTAGCTGGTACATCGACAACGCCGGACACTTTCCGTTGTCGTTTCATATCCTCATCTACTGTGCTTTGAAATCGACATACACACTCAAAAACACTTCGAGACAGGCGGATGCATCGTTTCCCAACCATAGAGCCTGCTGGTATGCAGTATGGACACATCGACCCACACTTTTGTCGGCACGATTGTCCCTGTCCCCCCCCCCCTCTCCCTCCCCCTTCCTGCCCCCCCCCCCCCAAGCTGTATGAGTCTGTTGGGGCTGCGACGCCTGATCATCGGATCCGAAACCCGTCACGGCCGGCATTATTCAGCTTTTTTGCAGTCTAGAAGTTTTATTCGTTGCAATGTTGCAGTAAAAGACCTGACCAAACAGTTTGCAGGCAACTGTAAAGCGATGTATATGATGCAATGTTGAAATAATTCAGCATATTATTGCCGAAAACCGCATGAAACTGCGGTCAGTGGTTGCACCAATGCCAGCTTCTACAAAGAATAGCGACACAGGCCGGGCTGTGGCGGTAATTGCATGACGAACCATAAGAAATGAATGTAGAAAGAGGATCAAAATGCGATTATTCAGATACAACGCGCCCTGGAACCAAATAAACTCCGAGAGACAGACAAGCATGGTGTGACATACTCCCTGTGAGCTATCAGCTCCCCGGCTCTCAAGTGAGTGAAGCGCACCATGGGTAGATAAGATTGCCGCGATACGGAAGGTACACATTCAGAGGAACTCGGTTTTGACAATGCTCCTAGAAATGTTCTCAGGCATTTCATCGCTTTTGAAATGTATGACGTCACCGCATGTGATCGCGGCGCACTGCTTCAGGTCAGTGGGAAGCATGCCCCGTGCAGAGAATAGCACTCGCAGCCGCACGGGAGTGCCCACACACCTGACGCCGCACAGAACATTCGTATAGAGTTTGAGTGGTGCGCGGGTCCCATCTGGGAGGGAGTGTAACTAGCGTGCACCCCGGTGAGTTCCTCAGAGTCAGTGCTCTGCATGCGTCCGTGTGTAGTCACGGAAGTCAGGGGCATGGTAGTCATCGCTGTCATGGTAGTAATGGCAATCATGATGGTCATAGTAGTCACGGTACTCACGGTAGTTATGCTACTCATGGTAGTCATGCTGCTCATAGTAGTCACGGTAGCCGTGGTAGTCAAGATAGCCGTTGTAGTCACGATAGCCGTGGTAGTCATGATAGTCGTGGTAGTCCTGTTAAGCGAAGCTCTCGTCTCACTCAGGTAGATCGTGAGTCTTGATAGTCTCGTATCTCAGATAGCTGCACTGGCGTGCAGCGTTAGCCACCGAGGAGGGTAGCACATTTGTGCGCATAGGTTTAGATATTCCAGACGGAGCGCACGATTTTTAACCTCAGACGACCAATAAAAAGAAAGGTGTGTTTTCTTGGAATCTTAGTTCCAATGTCCGCTGCATGAACTGTGCTGTGGATGAACGCGATAGAATAAAACATCGTCACCGAGCACTTTCGACAATCCGGACAATACACCTGGCCAGTGAACACCGATAGTGGACCCGACTCTCGAGAGCCACGACTCTCTCACAAGCCAGACTCTCGCCTTGACAACCGAAGGCCGCTACATCCTGCTAACGTTGATTTACAGCTGCCGATAATCCGAGCTCTATTCAGGGAAGAGGAGCGCTCAACAGGCGGCTGAGGCGAGTCTGCGGGTTGTGTGCGCCTAACGGGCCACGGCACCTGGCTACGCCGCTTTCCGTCCAGGTGGCCCTTCAGGACCTGGCCAGGCGGCAGACATCGTGAGTGTCCATTTAGGTATGTGCCTATCTTCGGCTCAGCGCACATGCAAGTCTGCAGTTACGTGACGTTTTGCTGCACTGATAAGCTGTCCATGAGCGCATCACCACGGAAAAAGCAAGTGGAAATCGTGAATTCGTTATGCGGTCATAGCTGAAGCGCTCTGTGTAGACTACACGAGCTAGCAGAACCAGTGGATACTCATAGATAATGGGCAATTAACTGGATTTGGAACATATTTAGATACATTGACGGGTTTGTGCATAGATATGGGTAAGACGCTCACGAGAAGCTGTGTACGTATTTCAAGGAACACTACGCAATTTACTGCTTGCGCTCTTCGATTATAACTAGCCCCAATTTACGCTTGTTTTGCAATTATCAATATAAGAGAATGAGACTTTTTCATGATCATGCGAACGGGTGGGTAGCTGGTGGATACAGCTGGTCAGCGATGGGGACGCGGGGGTAGGGACAAGGCCCCCATGTATAGCGGGTGGGTCAGGGCAGCGCAGCCGGAGGGGGATAAGGGTAGTTGCCCCCTCCCCTCCTGCCGGGAGGTAAGGAGGCAAGAGTCATGTCTTCGCCCCCCCCCCCCCCCGGTTTAAGGGATCTCCTTTTCGCAAGCCAAAAGGAATTGTAATTGCCCGTAAATTACCAAACTTCAGATCAAGGGGGCCCCGATAAGAAAGCAAGAGAGTACTACACGGGGCTGAGAAGACTATTGCTTTGTCGAGCGGCCCGTTTTCTGGATCATGGGGCCACCTTTATGAATAAGGTAACCCATTCTCTAGATCAGAAGGCCCAATGCTGAAGAGACCCCTTTGTTGGTTTAGGAGGCCCCGTTATGAACTAGGGCCTGCCTGGGTTAGGAGACACCCTCTTTATTCAGGAAGCACCATTTCTGGAACGGGAGGTCACTCTCATGCACCAGATGGCCGTGGTTTCGAGCCAGGATGCCCCGTTTTGCGATAATGAGGCCCCTTGGCTAGGTTTAGATGCCCCTTCGTGAATTAGAAACATCCTGTTCTAGATAATGGAGTTCTCCCTCTATGCATCACGCTGGCCCAGCTTTTGGTTACCGAGATCCTTTGCCAGATAACAAGAAGGCCCATTTTGTTTTCTTCTCGATTGCTGACATTTTTATTTGGATAATACGCATGCAACAGTTTGACAAAGGAGCATATCACACAACACACACATGTCACACGCACATGGGAACGTTGTATACATATAGTATATATATATATATATATATATATATATATATATATATATATATAACGCTCCCGGCCATCTGGGTACAAAACAACGGCAAGAAAAGGGACCCTGTTCATACAGTTCTCCCTCCCCGCTCCAGAGAACATGCATGCAAGGCATGGAGCACCACTAGATATTTGGTTTCCGACCACCTCATCACCGAATACGTGATCAGCCGGTTACCAGCACACAGTAGGCGGTCACCAATTGCTTGATCATCGGTCACCAACGACTGGTGTCATCACCCAGAAGCTGCGTCTCTGCCACCAATACAGAGGAGACGTGATCCCCGGCCACCATTCGCCATCGGCGGATGTGCCCGGTCACCTACAGGCGATCCATCGTTCCCATCGTTCTGCCTCCCAGGTCGCCTGAAGGTGAAACGTGACTCGGCCACGGCGACCCGTGCCTGGGTGACCCGCAGGTGCCCCGTGCTCACCTGGTGGCCGGCGGCGTGGGCGTGCGGCGGCGGCGGCGGCGGCGAGGGCTCTGTCATGAAGTCCAGCGGCGGCGACGCGCTCGGCACGCGCTGGTCCTGTGATGCCGGCAAACAGGCGCGGTAGTACTGCAGCATCGTCAGCGGACAGACAACCATACAACTCGCGGACCGTCGAAAGCCAGCAGCGACGGGGCGGACGAGCACGACAGAGGCGACCAGCGCGCTCCAACATGGAAAACAGACTGGTCTCGGTGCGCGGTCCGTGCCCCTCGGTATCGCCGCGCATGCGCCGGCGCCCGGTCGGCCGATATGAATGGCTTGCTGGGGCCGGGGGCGGGGCGCCGCATCACGACGCGCGAGACAGAACGCCCCCCAGGCGTCCTCCGACTCCGGTGCCAGGCTCCCGCCGGAAGTGAGGACCGGTCGCAGGTGGCGCTGCGGGCGGCGACCGTCTCGGCTCGTAGTGGCGCACGTGAGCGGCTTACCGGAGGGTGATGAGGCTGTATGGAGATGGCGCAGTTTCCGGTGGGCCTCCCGGGGCAGGAGGCATCGTTCCCGGTCGGGCCGCCGCCCGGACGTCAGCCTGGGCGGGCCAGTGGCCACTGGCGGAGTAGGTGCCATACACCCACATGTGTCTTTCTGCATACTGACTGACGGGTAGCGGAGATCTCAGCCTGTCAGCCGGGCGTCAGGCCACAGCCAGTACGACGTACGTCAAGTGACAGCACGTCACAGAGGTATATGTTGGTTAAATTCACGTTGACGTCGAGATCACTGAATAGCGTTGATATCGTCACCCTCACAAGGCTGCACTGTGAGCCAAAAAGAGTACGGACAACGACTCGTCGATCTACATGGCCTGTGTCGTGAAGGCGACTGAAGCTATGGTTAGGCTGGTCAGGCTTCTTCGAGAATGGTTGAACAAATTTAGGCAACATCTGACGCGAAGATCACTTCACCCTGTTCGTGTTTAACCAAAAAATTATATATCAAAGTTCTAACATTTGCCGCGCGCAGCACTGTTGTGTGTAGGAACGAGGGGCAGGGGCGGAGAGCAATGTGTCAAGGGCCCAAACTATTCAAGGTGGGGCAATAATATCATCTGCTACCCTCCCCCCCCCCTCTCACACACTCTTCTCAGACTTTGCTTATCCAGGTGGGGTATTAGGAGGCAAACTCAAGGTTACTTTAGAGCCCAAAGCTCTCCCGTGTCTGCTTACATAGCCTTGGTTGTTCTGCCTGCCCGCCTACATCCTCCTTAGGACAGGTGCGTGAAGTTTAAGGCGGAATATGGTAGACGTTAAGTATAAACCGGTACATCAGAAAATGCCAGACGTTTCATAAAATGCCAGGTGTTTCGGGTAGCCTCCATGAAACTTTTGTAATTACGCCATCCGGCTGAACAACGGTATGTGAAATGCCCTCGAGTTCGCGGATGTTTTATGTAGACAGTATTATTGTAATCTCACGGTCGAGAACTTTCAGTTCTTCGAATTATTGAAAGGACGCTGAGCCAAGTCTAATAACTGGGAGAAACCAAATTGTGAGACCATAAAACGGCATTGCCAGTTTTGAGTTCTTATGCTGACCGTTATTAACGGGCAATGTGCAGGCTAAGCGATAGTGGGATTCAACATTGACTATATCGGATCATAAACGCTGCTTGAAACACCGAGCATTGACAACCAACCTAATGTCAGCTTGAAAACATCGTTTTGCTTATATCAAGTACCAAAACAAAACAAAAATAGAGCCCAACTGCGCCTAGCAAATTCAACAAGCCCTGCAACAAGTAAACAGTAAAAGACGACAGGCGAAAGGCATTCATGCGTTTAGCAGAGGTGGGTTTTGATTGATGCATGGAGACCAACGATGTTGGAAAGCCCACTGATTTGAAAACTGGATGGGTCTGATGATTGGCAAAGTGATACCAATAAGCAACAAGCAACGCAGCAATATTGAAAAAAACCTAAAAAACAGCATTGGATGTCGGAAGTTTTGTGTCCGAAAGACGATTGCCCGTTACTAGTATTATTCCAAGGGCTTTCAGCAGCTCTTTGCTACATGCGCCCTTTATTTGGGATGTATAGCTGCTTTTGATTGCAAATAAATGTTTGATGATGCCGTTATCATGCTTTCAGTACGTCTCATGCACCCTTATTTGCAACAGTCGAAAGCAGTCGACAAACAAGGATGTTAAAAAAGTGTTACATTTGAAGATATTAAAGCAAACGTCAGTTGTGTGAACAAAGCTTACTTACAAGTATTGATATACCTTTAAGTGGCAAGAATTGCTCCAGACAACACATTTTCTCTAGTTACTATGCTCCTAATTACGTCATGGTTTGCTTGCGTCATCGTACGTTCCACAACGTAGATTGAGAGCCAATTCACGACCATTATCTCTAGAAATCGTTCTCACGAACGTCAGATATGAACGACTCGGCAATTATATTTTTCATGGTTCTGATCGCCGCATGATCAATGGAATGGCAAAATTTAAATGACGTTATAGTATCATAGATACCTGGGTGACCTTGAAATAGTTCGCACGAAATAGTCTGCATGTAGCTAAGAACTAGAGCAGTTTATGTCTTTAAGGGAGTGCTCCACTTTTATTTGGAGTTTTAAACTGAAATAGCCACCTTGAAGATCTTTCGGTGCTGTTCACAATCATGACCTTCTTAAGAAAAGGTATATCGGTAAGAATATTCCAAAGTCAACTTGGCATTCATGACATCACAATAAAATCATTCAAATCATGTCATTCCATAAGCCATGCGGCGATCACGGCCAAGAGGAATGTAATTGTCGAGGCGTTTGTATCTGGCATTTGTGAGCGCGATTTCCAGATATAACGGCCGTCAATTGGCTATCAATCAATGCTGCGCATAGCACGGTGACATAATGCATACATGATACAATGAAGAACATTTTTACTAAACGGCAGAGAATTGCTGGTATCTAGAGCAGCCTTTCCACGTGAAAAGTAGACCAATAGCTATACGTTTGCTTGTGTCATGATATCTGATGCTTGTTTTAATACCTTCAACTGTGAGACATTCGCTTTAAGAAGGGCACGTCCGTGAACTGCACCGATTAATCTTCAAGCTGGCTTTTTCAGCACAAAACCCCATAAAATGTAGAACGTCACGCTCTCTTATATGGGCTCGGTTCATGTAAAAGTGTTCTATTACACGCTCGCTTTGTGACAAAATCTCATAAGCACAGACGTTCATGAAAAGCGATTTCTCGGCTGCATACCAATATGTTATTTATGTGACCGATTTGCCATTTTTAGGCACCTTAAGAAACGCTAGAACAGCGGACTTCATCGGACATCAGACCTCAAGGCCTGACTAAACAGGTCAAAGGTTAGGATGTGTGACCGTTAAATGTTTTTTTTCGATGTAATTATCAATATTACTAAGTGCTCCTTCTTATGCGTGGGCCGTGTGGTTACCAGTCGTTTCAAGCGTGACAAAATCTCGTAAGCACGTGCGTTTATGAAAAGCGATTTCTCAGTTGCATACCAATACGCTATTTGTCTGACCGATGTGCGATTTTTAATCACTAACAAACGCTAGAAGAACAGCGGACTTGATCGGACATGGGACATCAAAGCTTAACTGAACGGGTTATGGTGTGTGGCCGTTAAATGCTTGTTTTTATAATCATCAGCGTCGTTAATGAGTACCGCGTACGCGTCGGCCGCATGGTTATCAGTCGCTTCAACTGCACGGTTCATCCAGATATGTCTCCAGGACGGTGGTGGCACGTCCGAGCATATACCGGCAGCCACTGAGGCCAACAACGACGATCGGAAACCCACGAGTTTGCGGGAGTCATTTCGTAAACAATTCTGGTTCCAGGGACAGGCGCTCGCCATGCTCGCGTGTCGGAGAGGGGCAAAACACTGCGGCACCACGCGCTGCGTAATCGAAGCGTGACAAGGAGATGGGTGTTCGGACTGCGTGAAATTACACTCAAGTGCGGTCCAAGTCATGCCGGAGTATAAAAATAAACATTCTAACAGAGTTAACCAAAAGGGAGCATCTTCCCCGGGCGTTACCGGCCCGCAACTAGAAAAATTGATGGCTGCTCACATCTGTTCCTATATATATACATATACATATATATATATATATATATATATATATATATATATATATATATATATATATATATATATGTGTGTGTGTGTGTGTGTGTGTGTGTATAACACATGCATACACACACACACTCTCTCTCTCTCTCTCTCTCTCTCTCTCTCTCTCTCTCTCTCTCTCTCTCCTCTCTCTCTCTCTCTCTCTCTCTCTCTCTCTCTCTCTCTCTCTCTCTCTCTCTCTCTCTCTCTCTCTCTCTCTCTCTCTCTCTCTCTCTCCTCTCTCTGTCTCTCTCTCTCTCTCTCTCCTCTCTCTCTCTCTCTCTCTCTCTCTCTCTCTCTCTCTCTCTCTCTCTCTCTCTCTCTCTCTTTCTCTCTCTCTCTGTCTCACACACGCTCCCACGTATCCCAAAGTCTGTCTGAGGTCAGTAAGGAATTTTAAAGTCATCAGCCACTGCACAGTCCTCGTCGTCGACCAGACCGGCTTCGTTCAGTAGTGCGCTGAGTTTATCGTGTGAGGGGGGCTATCAAAAACACATAGTAGTGTTTTACTGTTATATATATATATATATATATATATATATATATATATATATATATATATGTATATATATCGCTCTCCACTGCTCACTCTCCTTAGAAAACTCTTTAGAAAACTTTGGCAAGGCAACCCTGGGACTTTGGGTGAAGGCGAATAAATTGGTAATATGGTAGCCCTAATGGGAAGCGCAAGCGATGCGCAAACCGGCGACCTTCCGACGTTCTCAACTTTACACCCAGTGCAGGCTGAAAGGCGTTCTTTCCGTTCTTTCCTCACTGTTGTGCGGCTTTGCGTCATTCGGGGAGGCGCAGAAAGTTGTTTGCGTCGTCAATTCTATTTTCACCGGTATGCGAATAGTTTTTTAGCTTTTAGCAACTTAAGCTGTTACATTCAGTGTGCTTTTTAAAGAATTATATCGATATTATGGTGAATGACCTATTTCGGCTTATGCATAAGTAGATCTGACAAAAGAAGGGCCAAGTCTAGTCAGTGTTCGGGAAAAACGGTACCGTTTCATGAACTGAGCTGTGGCCAGCTAGTTACCTTGCTATTCATATGCTACTATCAATTAGGAGGGG